TCACAGAAGCAATTTTTACCTGTGCAAGGCAAATGTTTCACCACTGCTTTCATTTATTTCATCTGATATGTAGGCAATTATATGTTATTCTATAGAGTAGATGCCCTCTGCTAGAAGCTGAACTCATGTATCTTTGCACTTTAGATAATTATTTGCAATTAATTCATTCAGCACAACATCAGGTGATCAGCATCTAATGCAGTGGTGGGATTCAATTTTTTTTACTACTGGTTCTGTGGGCGTGGCTTGGTGGGCGTGGCAGGGGAAGGAGACTGTAAAATCTCCAGTCAGAGGTGGAATTTGCCAGTTCTCCAAACTACTCAAAATTTCTGCTACCGGTTCTCCAGAACTGGTCAGAACCTGCTGAATACCACCTCTGATCTACCGTGTTTCTCACAAAATAAGGCCGGGCCTTATTTTTTTTTGACCCCCGAAAAAATGGCTAGGCCGTCTTTTTTGGGATCACTTAATTCCCCCCCCCCTTGCATCCTCAGGTGGGCGGGCAGCAACGGCTTGGATGTTGACCTCGGCGTTGGTGGGGCACTTCATTTCAGGAGACCTTCCACCACCGTTGCTTTCCCTTCTCCCTTGCTGCCGTGGCATTTAGAGCAATGCCGTGGCATTTGGCGCAGCCACATGCGGCCAGCTAGGGCTCCTCCCTGCAACCAGAGCCCGGCGGAGACAGGTGCTCCTGTCGCCGCCTTCCCTTTGCCTTCGAAGGTAAAGCCAATTCTTTTAAAAACGACGCCCTACTACAACAAAGACTCCCCTGCCCAAGAGGGCAGCCCAACCCCATGTGGGAAGGCAAATCTCCTGGAGCCACAGCGCAGGATCGGCCCACCTCGGGAGAAGCACCCAGCCGCCATCCCTGCCTGGCGCCGGGCAGAGCGTGAAGAGCTTTGTCTGGGGTGCCCAGCGCAGCTGACAGGCGGGCTCTCCTGCCCGGCAGCGGAGCTCTCACCAAGGCAGCGAGCGCCTCCCCACCGGACCCTCCGCTCATCCCGCCAGGGCCGCGCCAGATCTGTGTGGGCTGGGCAGAGCCAGGAAAGTGAGATGCGGGTGTGCGCCCACCTGCCAAGCAAAAGAGCCGGGCCACCCTGAGCTTGGCTTCCTTCCCAAGTCCCTCCAGCGTGAACCCGAAGGGGCCACCAGGAGAGGCTGCCCGAGGCAGTGATAGCGCCCACCTGTCCATGGACAGGGAGGCGAGGTGATGGCAGCACTGCTTCCCTGGCTGGTGGAGGGAGCCCAAAGCCACCCGTCTTTTCCACCCCTCGCCCAGCCCGTCCCCATCCCCACGCATCTCCAAATGCACTGGTAGCTCTAAACGCTTCAGCGGAACAGGCATCGGGCAGAGGCGCTGAGTTGGCGGGGCTCAGCTCGGAGGAGGACACGGCGCAGTCATATGGGAGATATGCTTGGTGTGAATTATGAAATTTTATAGGGGTGGAAATTAAGTAAAATCTATATAGGTAGTCTCTACCTACAGACTGTCTTGTTTAGAAACCATTTGAAGTTACAACAGGTAAAAAAAAATAGTTTTGCAATAAAAACTACAAGTTCATTGTTTCTTATATTTCTTAAATGTTCAGGCTTATTCAGTCAAAGTTCTTGACCAACCATCAATTTGGTCAGAACTTTGGATCCAGTTCTGACTCTCTCCCCCCCACCCCCATCATGACTTTTCAGGAAAGAGATGAACCTATATCAACCTCAAGACTCTAATCTATTTATGGATTTTACTATAGAGTGTGAAAAGAATTTACAATAAAAGTTACTGCATATTTGCTTGTGTTAAGGAACAACAACAACAAAACTCCTTTGCCTGTATATTCAATTTAATTAAGAAACCCTTCATAAGAAATCTTCTGCAGTTTATTTATTTCTTCATATTCTTTTTCATGAGAAGAAAATAGAAAGATTATTTTTTGCTTTGCGAAGAATATATGAAAGCTTTTAGCAGAAAATTCTGTTCAGTCAAATTGATGAATTATGGCATCAAATGACTGTTTTGCTACTTTGTTAGCAGGAGGCATTTCCTATAACATCCATGGATATGTATTTTGTATGGATTTTTAAAAGGATACAAAATACTGCACTATAGTACTTGAAAACAAACACATTTTTCACACCCAAAAGAAGTTACTAAAAGTAGTTTATTTTTTTTTTAAACCATTCACGTTTGTTGAGGAAAAAGAATCAATAATTCATCAAAAGCTTCATTTCTTGTAACTCTCATTTGTTTGTAGAATTGTATTACAGATTGCTAAAAATCGATTTGACTAAATGCTGGCTGACATGTTTTTCTTTCCACACATGAACTGAATAATTTTACATTTACCTTGGAATATGAAGAAGTTTCAAAGGCAAAATGAATACATCATGCTATTGGGACAATCTTTCTAACTTTCAGTACTCCATTTTTGACATTGTATCTTTTACTGTAAACTTTCTGTCTTTCTTTCTCTCTCTCCCCCTCCATCTCCCATCTGTCTGTCTGTCTCTCTCTCTCTCTCTTTATCTCTATATTTATCTATCATCTATCACATTTTGAAACTACTCATCTCCCTCACGGACTCTAAATGGTGTACAATAAAATATTTAAACATAAAAACAGTATATAAAAGTTAGTTTTAAAAAGACAAGAATAATTAAAAACGTTAAAAAGTAATTAAAAGGCAAAGGGAGTGCTTTCAGGGCAATAACCAGCCCCACATGTTCCTCTATGCCAGAGGTGTCAAACTCAAGGTGTGCTGCTTAGATGTGCCCTGTGAGGCCACCCTGGAAACAGTGAAGGACTGGCTCTCAGTGCCTCTGCCAGCAAAAGCAGAGCTAGGGAGGGCTGCGGGTGGCCCTCCAGAGCTCCGTTTTTGCTAGCAGAGGGTTACAGGAGGCCGGCGCAGCCAAAAATGGCACTCAGGAGCCTGTTTTCACTGGCAGAGCACTCAGGCCACCACAGGCACCCCCGACATGAGTGATGATAGGCGGGCAGTGCCCACCCTGGCCACATCCACCCTGCTGCACCTGAAATCAAATACAACCCTGATGCAGCATTGAAATTGAGTTTGACACCGTGCTCTATGCTCTCTAAGCAAGGCCACTGCCTTATCTCACAGAGTGTGGGCAATGGCAGAGAAAGTCTCTTTCTGGTTCCTGCCAGTCAGAATCCTTTAATTGAGGGGTCTGCAACATATCTTCCCTGCCTGACCGAAAGGGATGGACAAATTTTAATGGGATAAAGATAGTTCCATAAGTAGTTTGGCCCCATATTTTGTATGTTATGCACAAAAATAAAATGGCTGGACTAAATATATCATGCACTGTTTACATTTAAAATAGCTACCCTGGAACTGGAATCAGAGCCTGAAAGTCCTTCATTGCCCCCTATGGATCTGTTTATGCCAATTGGTCTTAATACATGGACTTTTCGTGATCACGGTATGTATACATACTGCAATCCATTGAGCTTTACTGATTGTTGCAGTTGTATAACTACAGGAATACAAGTTCTTTATCAGGGCAGTGTTTCTTATCTTGTATTTTAATATACACATTTTTTTTTTAAAAAATAAACATTTCTGCAACATGTCAGACAATGAACTTTTGTCTGTGCAGAGAAACCCCAATAGTTCAATCTTGAATCCCTCTTAAATAGACTGCCTTATGTCTTTTAAAGAAGTTCAGGTAGTATCTTCAAAAAATATTTCCAAATTGAATTCCAAATTAGAAACATGGAAGTTCTCAAAATATCCTTGCTGAAATATAAGGAATTTGGGGAATTTAAAACAGTGATATTTCAGTGTTGATATGAGCCAAATGTAGTCCTTTCAAGCTCCTGATCTGCCCTGCATGATTATTCTTTTTGTTATGCATGATTACTTTCTACCAGAGACTAATTCTTTGTCCATATAAAGATATGGACAAAGAATTAGTCTTTGGTGGAGAATAATTGGCAGGGAGGGGGCTGCTATGAGTTCGCCCTGATTTGGGTGAACCAGTGGTTAATTTTATGGCCAGTTCAATGAACTGGCAAATCACACCCCTGGGTGGTCCTGCCCGCTCCACTCCTCTCCTCCCAGGATTCCCCATGTAGTCCATTTTGGATCCCAGGTAACTGCAGGGCCCTTGGGGAGGGTGAAAAATAGGCCTAATGGAGGCTCCGGAAGTCTGGAAAAGGCCCATTTTTGGCTTCCAGAGAGTCTCCAGAGCCCAGGGAGGCCGTTTTCGCCCTGCCGGAGGCTCAGGCAAAGTCTCCAGAGCCTTAGGAGGGCAAAAACAGCCCCTGACCATGGTGCAGGAGGTCGACTAGGCCACACCCACCACGGCCACACTCACCCAGCAACCGGGCAAAGAGCCAGTTGCTAAATTTTTTGAAGCCCACCCTGGTATTTGGTATTCTCTGAACTTGGTTGTTTGCTTGCAGACATTTATTGCCCAACTAAATAACATTATCAGAGCTAGCAAGTGTGGGGTTTGCTCCCTTTTGTATAGAGTAATTTGCCCTGCCAGGTTTGGTTGGGATGTGATTTTCTCTTTGATTGATTAGGGTATTGATTTCTGCTTGTTTGTTTGTCTTGTGTCTCCCTGCCCCCCCCCAACAACCAATTTGGGTTTCTAAATACAAGCCAGATGTGAATGCCATTGAAGACCTTGGGAGGGAGAGAGGGAGGGAGGAGGAAGGATTAACACCAGACAAACAGTTCTTTAAAAAGGGGTCTTTTACTACCATGAGGTGCTTTACCAGCAATGGTTATTCCTGGATGACAAAGACCCAGACAATAGGAGACTCATTCTCATTTATTCTAATGAATTCTGTGCAGAGCTATTTGTAACTATAGCCTAGATCTCTAAATATATTTCACCTGAACTGGACAACAGCTAGGATCTTTTTGGCTAGTGATGTAGAAAAAGCAGCTTTAAAAACAACAACAATTTCTTCTGAACTATAGATGACACAATCCTGTTTAAGGCTGAAAGATATTTAAAGAAAATATAAAATAATAACAAATAACAGGAGACTAAATATTCTTAATGCAGTCTTTGTTCATAAATCGGGATTCCTGAGTTTAAAAACCATAGAAAATGAGTTTTCTTTTAAATATCAACTGGATTGGTCAAAGCAATACAATAACCAAGAAAAAAAATTGTTGTGCTCTATGAATAATGTGCTAATCATGCTCTATAAAATGCTGGAGAAGAAAATGTTGGAATTATAATAATATAGGCTATTTTGCTTGTGACCCTTTTAGTGGAAATCTGTAAAAAATAGAGAATGTCAATACTATCTATCTTAATTGTAGTTTATATATTTGTTTATAACATGATATCACTGAAACATAATAGAAACTGGTGTATTAAAGGAAGATTTTTAGATCTGAAGGAGTGCTGTGCAGTTGCAAATAATAGAATGGAAATAGAATAATAAACCAGTAAATCTGCTTCAAATAATAATCAAAACTTTTTACCTGAGGCATCACCATCAGTCTTGTAAAGCATAAAAAATTGCTCAGTTTCTCATTAAAACAGTATCTACATCTTTTTGTGTAGATTTACTTTTTGTAGTTTGGTTAGGATTAAAACCAAAATATAGAAATAGCATAAAATATTACCTTATCCATATGTTGTCCTATTCCATGAACATGTATTCTAGCTAATTCTCATAAAGAATGTTATTATTTTTAGTATGTATCAATTTATGAGTTGCTATTAGTAAAAAAAAGGGGGAAATATACTAATGAAAAATACAGCTGTTCTCAGGTCACTCCAAAGATTAATAGCATAGAACTATCAACCATGTAAATCTTCCTCAGGCATTTAGTTGGCAAATGACATATTACAGAATATATAACAGAGTTATGCTGAAGATACAGATTCAAACTGCAAATACTCTCCTGCTGATTATGTTTTATGTGTTTAATTTAGTTTCAATGGTTTTGCATATACTTTGCTTTTTTATTTGCATTTTGTTTACTGTTTTCTGTCACTATTTTAATTGTGTGATTTGACCAGAGTCACACATATAAGATGTGTGCAAATGGAACATATTAATGAATGAATAAATAGATAATAAATATGATTCAGAGACTGTATGGACACATTCACAGCTGGTAAGGACACCTCAAACATCATAAATCATCCATAGAGGTACCCCACAAGCACAGAAAGGGTGTCTGATTGAATATACCATCAGTGCTAAGGGTGATTTTTCTCTAGTATTCATCTTGTTTCCATCACTGTATGTATCTGTTCATCATTATTCATTCTTCCTTGAACCTTTCCATCTAGGCAGAAAGAAGTTATTTCCGCCTCCAGAGATGATGCAAAAACTTAGTGAAGAGAGGAGGAACCCTGTGTTGCTGGAGTGTAGGTAAGTCATTTCTGATTGCTTTTTCTTGTTGAAAATGCCCTTGCTCTGGTTCTAGTAGTTGGCCTAAGTTGCTTCCTTGCTCAATCTAGCAAAAGCTAAATTAAACCTGCAAATTCAATGAGCTGTCATCTCCAAGCAAGATGATAGAAGGCTTGACCAAGTTAAAAGTCTTGGCCTCATAGGAGTCTAGCAAATGCTGATAACAGTTCATTTCAGCATAAGTTTCCTCTCTATGCCATCCAGGCACCAGAGTGAACACTGAAAATCATTTGTCCTTTCCATCTATAGTTTATGTACAGGTAATCCTCAACTTGCAACAGTTTGTTTAATGACTGTTCAAAGTTACAAGAGCACTGGAAAAAAGGGGATTTATGAGCATTTTTTCCACACTTACAATAGATGCAGCATCCCCATGGTCACATGATCAAAATGTGGCTGCTTGGCAATTGACTCACATTTATGACGATTACGGTGTCCCAGGGTCCTGTGATCATCTTTTGCAACCTTCTGACAAGCAAAGTCAAATAGGGGAAACTAGTCACTTAACCACCGTGTTATTCATTTAACAATTGTAGGGATTCACTTAATAAATGTGGCAAGAAAAGTGATAAAATGGGGCAAAACTCACTTAACAAATCTCTCACTTTGTAACATAAATTTTGGGCTCAATTGTGGTCCTAAGTTGTGGATTACTTGTATTGAAATCAAATGGCTATGCTCAGGATTAGAAATTCTGGGATGCCATGCTTTCACAATGAAGTCTTCATTAGGGCAGCTAATGTTGAACCAGCATGTCAAAATCATGTTACTCCTAAAGTTTTTTTTTTTAAAAAAGCATGGCATTTGTTAATGAAACATGGCCAAAACCACTAGCCAATGTGGTTTTTCATAGATGATCCTTGTCCTCTGACATCGGAGCTGCAAGGCTTATGTCATCTGCTTCAATTTGGTCTGTTTCACTGGAGATGCCACAGACTGGATGCATACATGCTTTAGAATTGAAAGTGTGCTTGCTGTCTTGTTAATTCCCAGGTTCCCTAGAATGACAGATGACATGGCCAGGAGTGCACTGCTCAGTTTTGTCAATTCCAAATGTTGCTATGGCAACAGAGCTGCAGGCGAACTCCTCATACAGGAATTGAAGCCACAGACCTTCTACAGAGTAAGTATTTTGGGATAGATTACCAGGGAGGGAACAAAGCTAGGTGAGGGAAATCAATAGCCTTGCAGAAGTGAGACTTTTGCAAGTGTCAGAAACTAGAAAAAGGTGGTGTTCGTTCAGAAGTTTAACTCCTGAAGCCCCCATATGGGTAAACAAAATGCTTTAATGACCTCAGTAACATTTCCCCCCCAAAACCACATTGAAGATGGTAGATAGGGTGATCCATGAGTGAATTAAAACAAGGTCTCAAAAGATCCAAAATGAAAAAAAATAATTCTTTTTCTCAAATTAAGGATTCTAGAATTAACATTTGATGACAAGATGTGTTTCTCCCCAGTATCGACTGAAAACCTTTAATGAAACAAGAGTATGTGAATGGACATTTGAACCTTACACCAGTAAGTAAATGTTTAAAGAGTTCCATTTAATTCCAATTGAATTTTTATGAAGAGTTTTTGGCAGAAAAGTAATGAAATCTAACCTGTGCATACTTACTTGTAAACTATCATTTGTATCTAAACATACAAATCACCTCAGAACTCACAGTTTCCAAATACATATATGTTGTGGCCCCGATTCCCGAACCTATGCTGTCAGAGGAAGAGGACCTGGAAGATGAGGAGGAAGAACTGGGAATGCCTTCCTCCTCAGGACCTTCCTCTCTGGCAATGTCTTCCTCCCCAGGACCTTCCTCCCTGGTAATGCCTCAGGTTCCATCAGACAACAGAGAGGAACAGCCTTAGATTAATCAGGAGGAAGGCATGTCGGAGCAGCCCCTGACAGGGAGTAAAGAGGAAGAATGTTGGCTCGACCCAAAGCAGCGTCGCAGGGAGAAACGTGAGCAGCAATGTAGGAGGCATGGGAGGGTCAGAGAGTGAGCTGAGTCATTGAGCCACACCCCACAGGGGGTGTGTTTTCTCCTTAAACTTTGTACGGGACAAAGTTTAACCTTACTTCAGATTTTCTTTGTGGAGTGCCTTGTGATTTTCTGTGAGTAAAACTTTATTTGCTATCAGTTCGGACTTGGCAGGCAGGATGTGGTGGAATGCCAAGAATATTATCAGTTCCAAAGAATTAACTCTGTGAAGTCCGAGCCAGCTTGCCTGCCTGTGTTTGTGTGTGTGTGTACTCTTTCATATTTTCGGAAAGAGGAAAGGTGAGACAGAACACATATATGTCTGGAATTTTACATCAAATTTATCCAAATATGGTGTTTGAGACAAACCCTGAAAATCCTATCATGAACATCTTAGAGACAATATTCAATGATACAAGGAGATAATTCTCAGTGGCATGGAATTAGGAGAATGTATTGGTAAAACAGAAAGAAATCTCTAAATTTTCCATTAATAAATACCAAACAAATGGGAAACATTCAGTAGAATTGAAAAAAATTTTTTTGAATCAAAGTTATTTACTGTGTACATAATAGATGTGAATCATTGTCATAAAATATTATAAGATTGTATAGAATATATTTTGATTGTCCAGAAGCATGACACATCCATTCTAACACAGCACTCTAACACAGCATTCTAAGAAACCTCTAGTCTTGAGATAGAAAGGCTTTTTTTCTACAAATCTGTCTCTCCTCTCTACATTCCTGCATACTGATGGGAAAATTTCAACCCATGAGAGATATTCTAAAAAAAAAAAAAAATTATTATTTTAATAGACCTTTCCCAATGGTTTCAATGATTCAAAGAGATACAATAGTGAGAACATAAACTTTTGATAGGATCATCCTACCTGGTCAGATGAAAAGTGGAAGGGTAATTCACAATGGAAGTAAGGACAGGTAAGATTCTGAAGGCATGAGGGGAATCAGTCTGTGAGCAAGATTGATAGTCTCTAAATTTGATAATAAACAAACAAGCAAACAAATCCTTCTAGAAGATGAAATTTCAAAAACAAGCCCAAAAGAAGACATGGGCAAACCTCTTCAATTTTATTGAGAAAAAAATGTTTGGCTCTAAATGTCTAAGGAGATTCTCAGAAATTGTTTAGCTGCACTATTTAGTTGAATTTGGGGGCCAGTTGATGAAAACCTCCCAGGAGAGATGTTATCTTCTAATTCCTGGAGAACTAGACTATTTGTACAGTGTAAGGACTAAATTAATTTATGCACAAGAGAATGAGATAATAGATTTATTGAAAAAAGCATTGAAAAAAATGGTCCTTTTTATTTCAAAGAGATCAAGATTCAGAACAAATGATCAAGATAGATCAAGACAAAGGGCAAAAGCTTTGTGCAACAATAATAATGTATTTATTTATTTATTTATTTATTTGATTTGCCAATTGTTTACAAGATAATAAGTATAAGTGTATACATAGTTGTGAATACATGAAATGGGTACATATAAGAAAAATAAAAGAATAAGAGAAACAATAGGACAGGGACGGTAGGCACGATGGTGCGCTTATGCACGCCCCCTACAGACCTCTTAGGAAAGGGGTGAGGTCAATAGTAGACAGTCTAAGGTTAAAGTTTTTGGGGTTTGGGGAAGAGACTACAGAGTCGGGTAGAGTATTCCAGACATTGACCACTCTATTGCTGAAGTCGTATTTCCTGCAATCAAGTTTGGTGCGGTTTACTTTGAGTTTGTATCTATTGTGTGCTCTTGTGTTGTTATGGTTGAAGCTGAAGTATTCATTGACAGGTAGGACATTGCAATGTATGATTTTATATACCATGCTTAAGTCAGACCGAAGACGGCGTAATTCAAGGTTTTCTAGTTTTAGAATTTCAAGTCTGGTGGCATAAGGTATTCTACAATGAGTAGAAGAGTGGAGAACTCTTCTTGTGAAATATTTCTGGACTTTCTCAATTGTGCTAATATCAGATACGTAATGAGGGTTCCAGACTGATGAACTGTATTCGAGTATTGGTCTAGCAAATGTTTTGTATGCTCTGGTTAGTAGTGTGATATTACCAGAGAAAAAACTACGTAGGATTAGGTTAACAACTCTTAATGCCTTTTTGGCTATGTAGTTGCAGTGGTCTCTAGCACTTAGATCATTAGAGGTGAGTATTCCAAGGTCCTTTACAGAGCTTGGGTCATCAACAAGATCTTGACTATTCAGCTTGTATTTTATTTTCTGATTTTTTTTGCCAATATGTAGACAGAGCATTTATTTGTTGAGATTTGAAGTTGCCATTTGTTTGACCATTCAGATACATAGTCAAGATCTTTTTGTAGGGTAGCAGTATTGTCTGTGGTATTGAACAGCTTTACATCATCAGCGAAGAGAACGCAATTGCTCTTAATATGATCACAGAGGTCGTTTATGTAGAGTATGAAGAGAGTTGGTCCTAGAACACTGCCCTGGGGGACACCACTATTGACAGGTACTGGATTTGATAGGACGCTCCCAATTTTGACCATTTGTTGTCTGTTTGACAGGAATGCTTCTATCCAGTTATTCAGTTGTCCAGAGATACCATAGGATTTTATTTTTAGGAGTAGTTTGTCGTGTACCACTGAATCAAAGGCTTTACAGAAGTCTATGTAGATTGCGTCTATTGTTTTGCCCTGGTCGAGTTGTGTCGTCCATATGTTTTTGCAGTGTAAGAGTTGCAGATTACAGGATAGTTTTTTTCTGAAACCAAATTGTTTATTGGAGAGTAGGTTGTTTGTCTCTAAGTGGAGGATGATGGATTGGTTAATAATTGATTCCATGACTTTACAGGTGACACAGCATAAGGAAATTGGCCTGTAATTTTCAACTAGGCTTGGGTCTCCTTTTTTGAAGATGGGGATGACTGTGGCTTGTGAGTGAATGGAGTGTATAGTTACAACATCCCATAACAAAAGACAAGGAACAATATCTTAGTTACGATTGTCAACAAACAGATGAAATCAAAGGAAAATTCACATTTAATCTAAGACTACTAAAGAGTAATAATAAACACACCTTAACAGAAGTTCAAAGAGAAAACTATTATGAATCTTTATATAGATATATATATATAAGACAGTAGAGAGAAAATATATTCAGGAAATGACTCCACTATAATAAAACACCATGAACAAGTGAAATATCTGTTTAATTGTTTAAAGCTGCAGGAAAAGAAATGGACAGCAACTGCTTCCAATAGTGATTTGTCAACAAAATATGTTCTCTAGTGATTAAAAAGATTTGGAATGTATACCCATAGCAAATAAAGGAAATAGAAGAAAATGCTAACATTATTAAACCATTTTCACACACAAGTAAAGTGTAGCTTAAGATCTTACAAGAAAAGTTAAACCTTATGTGGAGAAGAAAACGCAAATGAACAGGCAAATTTAAGAAATGGTAAAAGGATACATCTTCAGATAGCTACTATAAGGTAGAAAATGAAGTGAGAAAAATAATATAGGACAATTTATCTTTGTATCTTTTCTTTTATGTATACAGAGAGCATTTTGCACCAAGACAAATTCCTTGTGTGTCCAATCACACTTGGCCAATAAAAAAAAATTCTATTGACTACAAGGCATTTGGTTATGTAGACAATCCATGTAGTATACAGTAAATCTAACGGGTATGCAAGTACTATTCTTTACTTGCACAAGAGTTATTCTGAGAATTGAGTTCAGTGAAATGCATGTTTAAAATAGGAAAAACAATGAGATATAGGTGCATATTGACCTCATTGTATAATTTTGTAATGGAAGATTGGGAAACAGGACTCCTGATATAAAGATCAATTGAATATTTGAACACTTTTGAAACTGGCAGTGCTCTTTAATTACATCTAGAGGGGCTGTTTCTCTGAAGTCTTCACTGTGTGTTGAAAAATGAAGTGGTGGTTAGATTAGAAATCATGGGTGTCAAACTCAATTGCGTCACATGATGTATCATGATGTTTTTTGCCTTTGTGGAGCCAGGGTGTGCGTGGCCTGCATGTGACACATCCGGCCCATGGGCCATCACTTTGACAGGCTTAGATTAGATATTAGTCACAACTAACTCTTTTCACTTGGCTAGGCAAGTCAGAGAGCAGTATGTCTTCCTTGAACAATACACTTTGCAGAGAGATGAGGGAACATTTTTATCTTAGAATTTTAATCAATCAAGGTTAATGCTCCATTACATTTCCCCTGTGCCTATAGTAGCAATCACTTTTTAATTTTTTTTATTCAAACCAGAAAAGCACTAGACAAAGCCAAAGTTACAGCAGCTCTATACCGTAAAAAAAGGAGATATTGGCAGTTTTAGTAGTTAAAATGGCCTGTTTTGAGTACAAGGACAATTGAATTTCAAGTTCTTCTTGGCCATTGTATGACTTTTGGTTGGTCACCTTTTCTTAACTCACTTTCTCATATAGTTGTGGTTGGTGCAAATAAAATAAGACAAGAGCTTCACGCCCTCTGCCTTGAGTTCTCAGATGAAAGATTATATAAATGAATGTATGTATGTATCTTGTTCACATATATACCACACAACTCCAATCAGAAGGCAGGGAGTTGTTTAGATAGCAGAAGAGCCAGCCAAATTAAAAAAATGCATCTAAATATTAAACATAATAAATTGTTTAAAATTAATATTTAACACAGTATAAACAATTTGTTTCTGCATATTATAGAAACATAGACCTGGAAGCAATCCTAGAGGTCATTTACTCCAGTTCCCTACAAATGTAGGGTCCACTAGAGCTTTTCTGACCAATAACCATCCTCCTCTGTTTGAAAATCCCTAGCAAAGGCAAAGTTATTTGTAAAGTGGCAGCACTTTTGTGTTCCTTCAGATGCTAAGAATTGTCCTTGGACACTTTGCACCTTGAGTCAACAACAACAACAAAAAGTTCTTAGCTACTTTAGGGGAGGAAAAACAGAGCCTTTCCATCAATTTGCTCTTGGCATAATACAAAAGAATTCTGAAAGTCTGAGATACAGATTTGCTTGAATTAATAATTTTGTTAAGGTCAAATGGGATAGTTTCTTCAGAAGAGTAAAAGCCTCCTGCTAAAGAAATTGGGGTAACCTATGGTGAAAATAGATGGTTTCCAAGGAGTGGATTGTGATCTAAACACTAGAGTTACTTCAAGGTGAGATGGGCAGGAAATCAATTAATGAATCAATCAATCAAACAAACAAACAAACAAACAAATAAAATTATGCATTACAAAGGTTTTAAACTTCCCTGATGGCTTTGTGATATGTTTTCATACGTGGGATGGCCATTGTAACAGAGAGAAAAAATAAACTTTCCTCCAGGATGAGAAATTCTTGCAATATCTGAAATAGTAAAAAAATTGGGAAGTCTTAGAAAGAATGATCTTACTTAATGATATTCTCCTCCCCCATAAAAAAACAACAACCCAAGTAAAACAGAGGTGGTATTCAGCAGGTTCTGACCAGTTCTGGAGAACCAGTAGTGGAAATTTTGAGTAACTTGGAGAACCGGTAGCATAAATTTTGAGTAGTTCGAAGAACTGGCAAATACCACTTCTGACTGGCCCTGCCCCCATCTATTCGCTCCCTCCCAAGTCCCAGCTGAATGGCTGAGTCTTCTTTTGTTGCCCTGCACAGGACAACGGATCTGGGAAGCAGGTTAGTGGAGTGGGGAGGGAATGGGCTTTTGCAGTAACCTTCCCCTGCCATGCCCACCAAGCAATGCCATGCCCACCAAGCCACACCTACAGAACCAGTAGTAAAAAATTTTTAATCCCACCACTGAAGTAAAAGGCAAAAAAAAAAAAAAAAAAAAACATACTGGGAACAAAACTTGAAAAACTTCTGCACACCTTGAATATAATACATGAATCCTGACTCCAGTGAAAAATCCATCAAATACAACACAGTAGTAACCCCCCTATAAGTAAGCATGTCTATAATCCATTCATCTTACAGATTTTACATAAAATTAACTTTGATAAATTATGAAGAATATGAAAGGTGAAATTATACTATGCTTACATTTTATGATTTTTAAGGAATATCTCAATAAAATTATGCTATAAACTTTTCTAACAGAGTTTAGAGATCTTGTGTTCACCATTGCAAAATAAAATAGTCTCTTTGCAGACCAGATTTTCTCATGTTCGGGCAAATTGTAAAATGCAGAACATTCACTTTAGACATTGCTGGAGCTCTATGTACTCCCTGGCAAGCAGGTGCTTTTTAAAATTATTATCCTATGATTGATCCAACAATGGTTTATTAACCTCTTTAGAAGCTTGTTAATCTGTTCACCTCTTTCATCTCCCAGTGAGCTTCTGCTCTGGCAAATGGTGCATATTGTTCTTGCTTTCCCATTTCCCTCCCACCCCCACAATTCTATAAAGCTTTACTTACATTTTTTCTATTTCCCCCCCCCCCCCCCCCCCCGCAAACCTTTAAATAGCATCCTAGACATTTTGGAATGAAGCTACAAGGTTTCATGAATTCTACTTTACTTCTGTGAAGCTAAGGTATCAGGTTTTCCTTGCTATCAAGTTTCAATCTTTTTAGATAGAGTTTTTGGCCTGGATGGTTGAGTCTTGATTTACATATTGCAATCCATTTTGGGGAAAAACTCCTGCAGCTGGTGTGGCAAGAGTTAGTATAGCCCAACAAACTCTCTGACTCTCTGCCTAACTATTTTTTTTTTAAATTGACTGATGAAGTTATTTGGATGAATAATGAAACATCTCAGATTAACAAACTTTGATCCAGTTGCCAACATTTAACCTTTTCAGATATTTCAATTTCTAGAGAACAACAGAAAAAATAAAGGATCATCCATGTCTTCAAACATTCAGGAAAGCCAAGAAAAAGAATGAGGCCAGGCAGAAGGGAACAATCCCTAAAAGGCAGCAATTGTAAGACCTGCCAGTCAATAGGGCTTGTTTTGCCTCCCCCAATAGAAAGAGAAAGAAGCAGAAAATGATTCTAATCAAGGCCATTTTCTTCTGATTTTCAATTATCATCTGCAGACAAAATTTCATTCTCTGCTCCTCTTATTTTTGTAAAGTTTGGTCAGCTTCAGGGTTGACATTCATCTTGATGTCCAGTCTTTCTGAATGGATTACCAAATCTGCATTTCTAAAAATTTCCTCAGTTTCTGCTTGGGGCAGGGAAACTGGGGCTGGTTTCTGCCTCCCTTAAGATTTTTTTAAATTTTTCCTTTGGGGAAATATTTTATCCTGCCTTTTTAATATTTCCCAAAGCATTTCATTCTTCTAGGAGCGGGTGTGTCTTACAATTTATAAATCAAATTTCTATAGTTATGCATTTATGGATGTAATAGTATGAAGAAATCAAAGACATTAAAGTTCTCCAGTAGTTCTATGCATGAAAAAATTAGATTTAAAAATTAGATTACATAGTTATCATAATATTTTAGAAGGTCTAATAAAATAGGTAAAAACAGAGTGGAAAAACTAAATAAAACCATTCATAGGAAAGAGTCAGTTTGGCCTAGAGGCTAAAACCCAGGAGTCTGTGAGTTCCTGTCCCTCTTTAGCCATTAAAAATGACAGGGTGTCATTATTTCTGCGCCGAACTCACCTCACAGGCTTGTTGTGGGGAAAATAGGAGGAGGAAGATGTGTTGGATATGTTTGTCATCTGCAGTTATTTATAAAAGTAATAAAAGTGGGATATAAATCCATAAAAATAAAAGGAGTTCTTCAAGTCTCTTTATTGCTGTGTTTTCCCCATTTTTGCAGTCAAATACAATTTCCCACTGTAAAATGCCATTGATCTAAAGAAAATATTGCAGTATTTTCCAATGATAGACTCAGGAGCTAACAGAAGAAATATTTATTCAGTTTCTTCTGTTTCACCGATTTGTAAGTTTGGGAAAATATGGAAATCATACCAGTAGGAAGATTAATTACTACAATTTGTTATATATTTTGCCTAATTTCCTTAAAACCTTTAACCCAAATGAATATCTAAAAGGGATAGGAGAGACTGTGATATGTATAAGTTTGCCTGTAACTTCTGCTATACACCAAGAAAAGTCCTGATCAATAAAATGTAATTTTGTACAGTACAATGCCATCTATGAATTATTTCTACAGCCAATTCCAGATGACTCATTAAAATGGATGTGGAGAGAATTTTATGCCATGAAGGCTTTCAAGCTGATTCATCAAATTCAAATTATAATTTATCTTCCCATTTTTTAAAAAAGATTTTCAAGAAAGCCTGTCAATATTTGATGTAAAGAATGGTATAAAATTGGACTGGTTCCCTTGATTCTAAACAAAGTGGGAATAAACTATTTGTGAAATATTTTTAATGGTTGTAGTTGACATCACGCAATAAGCCTTAACTTGTCATCTTTGACTCCAGTTGGAACTTGTGATGAATTCTTTGTAACATATATTCAGCAGAGACAGGTTTTCCATCTCCAACCAATCTCTGGTCCTACCTGTTACCTGAAATCTTGTTCTGTCTCTCAGATGGACAAATTCCTTCATTTCTGTGCTATGTTGCTGATATACAGCAACACAGCACAGAAATGAGGGGATTTGTCCAACTTTTTGTTTCTGCCTTTATTTCTCATTTACTTCATCTCTTCTGTGGCTGATGGCAAGAGGCTGGCAAGTGGCTTGGAAGTGGGAGAAGGAGAAAAGCAATATACTGGTAAATGACAGCTGGCACAAATCATTTTGCTGCCCGAGACAGAGCAACAAATGAACTTTCTCCCTTTCCTACCTAGTCAACATGTGTTGTGCTCAAAGACAGGAAAATTCGAAGTAAGCTTTTCTGTCCATCATCAACAATAAATAAACATTCAGTCTTTGAGCTTAATAGTCCCGTTTTGTGTGTGTGTTGTTTTCAAGTCAGTGTTGACTGCTGGTGACTGACTGAACAAATCCCTGTAATTTTCTTCCAAGACTTCAGAAACGCCTTCTTTGTAGGGCTGAGAGAAAGTGACTGGCCCAGGTTACCAGCTGGTTTGATGCCCAAAGCAGGACTAGAACTCACAGCCTCCCAATTTCTAGCCCGATGCCTTAACTGCTACAGCAAGATGGCTCCCTCCTAGTCCCACATCCAGGATATAATGATGCAAGCTTACTGAATAGATTCTAAGATTTTGTTGCAATCCCAAATCTATATACTCTCAAGACAATAAAATGATGTAATAATGTAGTAAAATATAAATTCAGTGCTATGGATCAGCCACAATAGATATAAAAATTGATAGGAATGTCTGATGAGAATCAAAGATGCACTTTTAAAATATTAGTTTCATTGATCACAAAGGATTTAAAAGTGCTAAATCTTATGTTGAATTGTGGCATCTATTTGTTTTATCTTATCAGATGCTTCAGTGGATGGTCCACAAAATGGTGTATCTCCTCGACCTTGGGACATTAAAGTCCAAGTACCACAAATGTTTCAGGAAGACACAAAAAAGTTTCGTGTTCCCCATTCTTCTTTACTCAAGGTAATTTTATCAAAATAAACAACAAGCAAAACAATAAATAATAAGCCTGTTCTATTTAACAGCTCATCCTATATTTGAAGACCAATGTATTTCTCTTTATTAGTCTTCTCTGTATATTACTGGATCAATATCCGATCCTTTAATCATTTCTCATGGGATTTTATTTCCAGATCTTTCATGGATTTGATCAGTTGAGGGTTTCATATAATGTCCTTTAAAAACATAGAGAAGGTATGGACTAGATTACTAGTTACCATATTTGAAAATTGGGAAAGACTTGACAGGTGAATAAAAAGGCCAAATCTAGTTTAAACATCTGTCTATCTCTGCAGCAAACCATCATAATGTTGAATATGAGTCACTTTGAAGCAAAATGGGCAGCAAGCAAATATAATAAATAATAAATAAAATAAAATAATAAAATGCAATGCAATGATGATATGGTGCGAATTGCCTTAGTGATGCATTTCATCTTGTGGAGGTGTGTTGTTCCCCCTTGATGAAATGAAGGGTCTGGTGGAGTATTGTGTTGCTCTGCCTGAATGAAGGCCTGAAGGGGGACTGATCATGACTGGCCTTCTCATTTAACATTGATTTCAAAGCATGAATAGAATCTGCTATTAAGGAGAAAAATAAAATTTCCAATGCACTTCCCTAATTTTAAAGAGTCAATAAAATATGGCTCCTTAGCCCATTTTTTTTTTTGCTGTATTATCAGAAACCCTGCTAGTCTTATGTAGCATGAAAGCCTTTTTAATTTATAATACAACAGATGCATGCTAACACTTGAATTAGGTAAGAATAACTGTCCTTGTCAGCCCAGCTTAATTCAGGAATCACCATACATGATAGTCTATTTTTTAGACTGATTTCATTTCTATTTCAGGAATGTCATAAATGCCATGGCCGGGGCCGATACAAATGTAGTGGATGCCATGGTGGAGGCAGGGTGAGTATTGATAGTGTATTTATTATTTTATATTCTTTGATGCTAAAAAATATTATTACGCATGCTTATTGCTCAACAGCATTGCTGAGCAACTTAATACTATTTAAAATAGGAAAGTTCATGTGTAGCTATTAAAACTCAGACTCCTGAGTTTGATGTGTGTGTGTGTGTGTGCAACACACACACACACACACACACACACATATATATATATATATTCGTAGATTTTCACACGTACAGGTATGCAGGTCTTGGCGTGTTCGGGTCTTTACAATCTTACACGGGAAAAGACCCAAACATGCCAAGTTTGTGTATGTGTGTGTGTGTGTGTGTGTATTTGTTTTCTTAAGTTTTCACGGGTATTGATATGTATGGTATTCAGCTTTGTTCGGGTATTTTCCTACATCATTATAGTTATGCTTTTAAAGTTGTAGCAACGTTTTGGCAGAATCTCATCTGCCATCATCAGGCTTGTGTACACAGATGAACTCAATATACAAGCCTGATGATGGCAGATGAGATTCTGCCGAAACATTGCTACAACTTTAAAAGCACAACTATAATGATGTGGGAAAATACCCGAACAAAGCTGAATACCACACACACACACACACACACACACACACATATGCATGCATACATACATACATACATACATACATACATACATACATACATACATACACCCAAATGGCATGAATCTCAAGTATATCAAAGCAAAGTGAAAAGTATTTATTAAGGTAGGTCAGATTTTTCTATAGAATACAGAAACAAATGATACATCCATTTGGTACATGTGATATGTCAGAAAGCAAGTGATCCAGAGGTGGTATTCAGTAGGTTCTGACCAGTTCTGGAGAACCGGTAGTGGACATTCTGAGTAGTTCGGAGAACTGGCAAATATCACCTCTGACTGGCCCTGCCCCCATCTATTCTCTGCCTCCAAGTCCCAGCTGATTGGCTGGGTGTTCTTTTGTTGCCCTGCACAGAAGAACGGAACTGGAAAGCAGGTTAGTGGGGTGGGGAGAAAATGGGGATTTTACAGTATCCTTCCCCTGGAGTGGGGCGGGAATGGAGATTTTGCAGTATCCTTCTCTTGCCACACCACCAAGCCACACCACACCCACCAAGCCACACCAAGCCACACCCACAGAACCAATAGTAAAAATGTTTGAACCCCATCACTGAAGTGATCAAACAAATTGATTACATGTGAGAATTGAACAATAGGAAACATTGATATTAGATAGCATTCCATGAGTGGCAAATGTATGGATTACATTATTGTCTTTAGCAGCTGGGTTTGTATCTTTTAGTCTTGCAAGTACATTTAAGGACTTTCAGAATATGTTTTCTATTGTTTAATTGCTGAAAAAGCAAGTTCTCATATACCAAAAGAAATTGTCTTGGCTTAGAAGAAAAATGTGCTTTCCTAAAGTTAGAAAAGAGGCCCAGATTGCCATGTTAAAAAAAAATATCACCTTTTTAATGCTAATAATGAAGCCTAAAATTCCAGGTAACCATTCTGTTTTCTGTGAACTCAAATTAATTTCATTTCTTTATACAATGTTTCACATAGTAAAACACCACATAAGGAAAAAATAGACCTAGCTCAAAACTAGAAGTATCATTCTGAATATTTTTGCCTGAAAAGAATTAGAGGCTGAGCTAAAAGAATTTCAGCCCAAATCAAATAAAAGCATGTCTTAACTATGTTGTTATTCCAAGGTTTTTTTTTTTCATCCTAATGTTATCTTAGCTATTTTGTGTTCTCATAGATGAGGTGTGTCGTATGTAATGGAGCCAAGAAAACCAAACATTTAAAATATCAGAAACGGTGTCAGGTGTGCTCAGGTACCGGTCGCAAAAGGTAAGGACTTTAAGAAAATTATAATGATGAATAATAACAATGATAATAACAATGGTGACTGCCCTCTTTTTATACATATGTTCATATACATGACTCCATCATACTATTGCCTTTCAGTGTTAGCAATATTATACAAAATGAATAACTATAGAAAGAAATGCTAAGTAAAATCAATTGAAGAAAAGGAAGAAAAGACAAAAAGAAAAAGGAGAAGGAAAGAAAAGCAGGCAAAATCCACAGGTGAAACTCAAAAAATTAGAATATCGTGCAAAAGTTCATTTATTTCAGTAATGCAACTTAAATGGTGAAACTAATATATGAGAAAGACTCATTACATGCAAAGCAAGATAGTTCAAGCCATGATTTGTCATAATTGTGATGATTATGGCTTACAGCTCATGAAAACCCCAAATCCACAATCTCAGAAAATTAGAATATTACATGCAATCAATAAAACAAGGATTGTACATAGAACAATATCGGACCTCTGAAAAGTATAAGCATGCATATGCACTCAATACCTGATTTGGGCCCCTTTTGCAGCAATTACTGCTTCAGTGCGGTGTGGCATGGAAGCTATCAGCTTGTGGTACTTCTGAGGTGTTATGGATGACCAGGATGCTTCAATAGCGGCCTTCAGCTCTTCTGCATTGTTCGATCTCATGTCTCTCATCTTTCTCTTGGCAATGCCCCATAGATTCTCTATGGGGTTCAGGTCAGGTGAGTGTGCTGGCCAATCAAGCACAGTAATCCCATGGTCATGGTTTTGGTGCTTTTGGCAGTGTGGGCAGGTGCCAAGTCCTGCTGGAAAATGAAGTCAGCATCTCCATATAGCTCATCTGCGGAAGGAAGCATGAAGTGCTCTAAAATCTCCTGGTAGATGGCTGTGTCAACCCTGGACTTAATGAAGCACAGTGGACCAACACCAGCAGATGACATGGCTCCCCAAATAAACACAGACTGTGGAAACTTCACACTGGACTTCAAGCATTTGGCAGTGTATGCCTCTCCATTCTTCCTCTAGACTCTGGGTCCTTGGTTTCCAAATGAGATGCAAAAGTTACTCTCATCAGAAAAGAGGACTTTGGACCACTGAGCAACAGACCACTTCTGTTTTTCTTTAGCCCAGGTAAGATGCTTCTGACGTTGTTTGTTGTTCAGGAGCAGCTTGACAAGAGGAATACGACATTTGAAGCCCATGTCCAGGATCTGCCTGTGTGTGGTGGCTCTTGATGCACTGACTCCAGCCTCAATCCACTCCTTGTGAAAGTCCCCAACACTTTTGAATGGCTCTCCAGGCTGCGGTCATCCCTGCTGCTTGTGCACCTTTTTCTTCCACATTTTCCCCTTCCACATAACTTTCCACATAACTGTGCTTTGATACAACACTTTGGGAACATCCAACTTCTTTTGCAATTACCTTTTGAGGCTTTCCTCCTTATGGAGAGTGTCAGTGATGGTTTTCTGCACAACTGTCAGGTCAGCAGTCTTTCCCATGATTGTGATTCCTACTGAACCAGACTGAGTGGCCATTTAAAGGCTCAGGAACCCTTTGCAGGTGTTATGGCAGAATTAGCTGATTAGAGTGGGACACTTTGAGCCTAGAATATTGACCCTTTTCACAATATTCTAATTTTCTGAGATTGTGGATTTGGGGTTTTCATGAGCTGTAAGCCATAATCATCTCAATTATGACACATCACGGCTTGAACTATCTTGCTTTGCATGTAATGAGTCTATCTGATATATTAGTTTCACCTTTTAAGTTGCATTACTGAAATAAATGAACTTTTGCACGATATTCTAGTTTTTCGAGTTTCACTTATAGTTTAGACTATTATTCATTATATTGCTCCACTGCTTTCTATCCCTCTTAACTATCATTGCTTCCAAAGCATCCATATACAGCTATTTGTTCTTTAAAATTCTCACTCTTGTCTTCTTGAGGATCTGATCAACTCATCCGGTCTCAGTTTCCTTTTGTCAACGTCTTTCTCTTGATCCATTTGTATATTTACTGATAAAGGGGGATACTTGTAGGTCATGGTTAAAATGAGAAGTCCTTGGAGCTGTCTGGGTTTGGTTGTTTTCTTGCCATTGTTTCTTGAAATGTCTGCAAGAAAACAACCAAGCTCAGAGAGCGCCAAGGACCTCTTGTTTGTATATTTGTTTTGCAATTCAATTTTCATTTGCCTTCTCTATGGACAGATTTCCAGCTTCTGTCAGCAAAGGCCAGTCACACTACTTTCTGAGCAGGGACAGATTTTTTGGTTGTCCTTCCATTTTGAGCCTATTGTAAACACACCCCAGCTATGATTCAAAACTTCTGTTTTCCAACTCAAATAATATTAAATATATATGAATCTTGTGGTTGATTCAGTCATAGACTTTAAGTCAATTCACAATTGTACACCCAAGTACCATTCAAACCTTATAGCTTCCAGTGAACACCTCACTAAGTGAAGCATATTCCTCTTGCTTTGTTAAGGGAGTGGACCAAATGACAAAGGAACAGTCCTTAAGAACTGATGGATCAATAGCCACAGGAGTTAGCCAATGAAGTTTGCTGGATTCTGAAGCCCTGGAGCTCCTGCTAACTTATCCAGAGCCCTCCTCTCCTTCCCCAGAGAAGCTCTTTCCATCAAGCCCTATCAACCACACTGGTGGAACTCTTGAACTGGATCACTTGGAGCCAGCAGAGCGCAAACAATGGACCTTCATTTAAATCCCCCCCACAGCTAATCAAAGTATCTTCCATGCCAGACAAGGTGTCTCCATTAATATCCCCCACACAATTTCCCCAGAGCCACATCAGACAGCTGGCAGGGAGAAATAAGGAGGGAGGATAGAGAGACCAAGTCTTTAAGGAGTTTTTCAGTCCTTTCTTGATCAGAGTCAGCTGCGTGTATTGCTCTTATTTCAGCGTGTTCAAAACCTACAGTTTTTACAGGTTTTACAATGAGTGTCCCCAGCGGATCAGATAACAGCAGCAATAAATCAAAGCAAAGTTATAAGTAATCAGATTGCCCAAATCCTCTCTCTGAATTACAACAAATAGTCAAAATTGGGAGCGTCCTATCAAATTCTGTACCTGTCAACAGTGGTGTCCCCCAAGGCAGTGTTCTAGGACCAACTCTTTTCATACTGTACTGTACTGTAACGACCTCTGTGATCATATTAAGAGCAACTGTGTTCTCTTCGCTGATGATGAAAAGCTATTCAACACCACAGACAATACTGCTACCCTTCAAAAAGACCTTGACTATGTATCAGAATGGTCAAACAAATGGCAACTTCAAATCTCAACAAATAAGTGCTCTGTCCTACATATTGGCAAAAAAAAATTCAGAAAATAAAATACAGGCTGAATAGTCAAGCTGATGATCCAAACTCTGTCAAGGATCTTGGAGTACTCATCTCAAATGATCTAAGTGCTAGAGCCCACTGTAACTACATAGCCAAAAAGGCGTTAAGATTTGTTAACCTAATCTTACGTAGCTTTTTCTCTGGTAATATTACAGTAATAACTAGAGTATACAAAACATTTGCTAGACCAATACTCGAATACAGCTCATCAGTCTGGAACCCACATTACATATTTGATATTAACACAATTGAGAAAGTCCAAAAATATTTCACAAGAAGAGTTCTCCACTCCTCTACTTGTTGCAGAATACCTTATGCCACCAGTCTTGACATTCTAGACCTAGAAAACCTAGAACTACGCCACCGATTGGTCTGATCTAAGTATAGTATATAAAATTATACATTGCAATGTCCTACCTGTCAATGAATACTTCAGCTTCAGCCATAACAATACAAGAGCACACAATAGATACAAACTCAAGGTAAACTGCACCAAACTTGATTGCAGGAAATACGACTTCAGCAACAGAGTGGTCAATCTCTGGAATACTCTACCTGACTGGTTTTTTTCCCCAAGCCCCAAAAACTTTAACCCTAGACTGTCTACTATTGACCTCACCCCTTTCCTAAGTGGTCTGTAGGGGGCGTGCATAAGCGCATCAACGTGCCTATCGTCCCTGTCCTATTGTTTCTTTTATTTTTTTATTTTTCTTATATATATCCATGTATTCATAACTATGTCTTTACTTATACCTATTATCTTGTAAGCAATTGACAAAAATAAATAAATAAATAAAAATAAATAAAAATAAATAAAGTATTTCAGAAGGGACCCTCCCTAGTTTTCTGGAGAATAAAAAAAGAGGAGGGGAGATGTACTTGATTGATGACAGCCTTGTGCTGCATTGCAGACAAGAAGCACCTCCAAATGAGGTAATCCTACTTCATCACATTAACAGAATCCTGCAAGACTGAAAATATTTCTCCTGTCCTTTCTTTTTAATCACCAGAAAACTTGGGTGTGTGTGTGTGTCCTATTTCAGCTTGCCATGCTTTCCCTCACCTGAAGACTGAGCTGTCACTTATCTGACCCATGTCTAGATGGAATGTCTTCTTCTATTTCCCAAGGTCATTCCCACATCTCATTACTGACAAGAAGCAACAGACTGTTGCCCATAGACTAAAGGGAGCTCCAGTTCTGCCTCAATTCCAATCAAAATAAATCTAGACTGGAATATCTAAGTTTGGCTTAAGAAACACTGGATCTTTTTGAAAGAATTGGCTGCAGTTCAGGATGCTGTATAACCTCTAAAATACACTTCTTCCATACTGCTCTCAGGGTTCATTCACCCATTCATTCTTGATCCAATCATCTCATCTTATATGGTATTACCAGACTCGCTTTAGTGCATTCCACATACTTTTATGTTTCTTGTGATGTACACAGCTTTCATTTCCACATAAGAAAGGAACACGGTTATTATCTGAATTAAAAAATTGGAGATTATTTCTGGCAATAGAGAAATGCATATCTTTATACCTGAGGTTATACTTTAAAGTAATATTACTTCATTGCCCATTGTCCCTTTCCTGGAATAGAAGATATGTGCATAAGCATCTTGTTTGTTTCCCTCCTTTTCTTTGTAACTGCTTTTCAAGGATTTTTCATTACCTGAGTGCAGTAGCCATCAAGTAGCTGGGAGGAAGAGCAATATGACAGATTTAGATCCACTAAAACAGTAATGGAGATGTTTTCTTACAGGCCAGACTGTAGAGGTGGACTATTGATAACATAGATGGCTTTTCACTGGGATTAGAAATAAATTATTCTGAAAGTTTTGAAATGTTCATAAAACATTCTTCCTACTTCCCACGTAGGAAGAAAGTTCTTCCAAAGTACATTTTCAGAAAACATACTCCAAAACAATAAACTGCAACAAAACAATGGCTGATGTCTTGTAAAGTGTCATCAAGTATTCAAATGAGATTAGGTTTTCTTCTAAAAGTGCATTGCGGGAAGCATCATTATTGCTCATATACTATCTAGGCTTTTGTCAGAAAGTTTCAACCTCATATATTTCATAAGAGATCAGAGAAAAGAAAACTCACAACACTGAGGCAAAAAAAAAAAAAATCTTGTCTCTTCCATTACTTGGAACCTAACACTGACATCAACACCAGAAGGGGAGTCAACCATGAAAGAAGTATATTACCTCAGTCTCTGAGGAAAATCCAGAAATACTGATGGGTTACAAATGTTTGTCATATGTTATATGCAAGGTTGAGGATATTAGTGGCATTAGTGGTAATATTAGTCATATTAGTGGTAGAAGCTTTCTTCAGTATCATTTTCCCTAGAATGTAAATCAAAACATCCAAATAAAATAGGGAGTCCAGTAGACCCATTCTCTTAACATTTTTTTTCTTCCAAGTGGTTTCCTGCAAATGAATGGTCTGCTTTTTTTTTCAAATCAACCCAGTGTTGATCCCATGGTTGTGACTGGATTAACCAACCAGTTTGTCACCAAAGCCCGATTTCAGGGGCTGAGTGAGCCTGACTAGCCCAAAGTCACTCACTGGCCTTCATGTCTAAGGAGAGATTAGAACTCATAACCTCCTGGTTTCTAGCCTGGTGTCTTTAACCACTACTCCCTACATTTATATTGGCAAGTGAAACAGAGGAGGAGGAAGGTAACTCTGTTGAGCCTAGTAGAATTCCCATGCATGTACAGGTAGAGAAGACAATTATTCTTATTGAGAAAAATGAGAAGAAAATAGCTAAGAAAAGACATAGAAACATCAGTTCTCTGCAAAATGCTATTACTTTTTTCTTCTTTTTTTACTAGCCGACTCCTGTCCCTAATAGCTGACTCCATAAAATACAAGGATTTGAATTATTATTTTTCCAGTGCAAATAGTAGAACTCAATAAGAAATGCATATAACTTCGTAAATCATAGGAGGAGAGATCAAGATATCATGCTCAATCATAATTACCTTGTACAGAGAGAGCCAAATCTCAGCATGATATATTAAACTTTTTTTCCTACTGATTTTAGGTTTCCCACTTTTCTACCAATATTTGTCTTTAGCTGATATCTATTTACATAAGCTTATATGCAGCTCACAAATTGTTACCTTTTAGTTTTTCCAGCTGCTAAAATATGTAGTTTGCCATGATCTTTAGGGAATGCAAAATACCTCTCTGTTCTTCCAAAGTATTTTATAAGACTCCATTAAGCATAAAATAACAAAGAACAAATAAACCAGGCAATAATTTGAAAATGGGGATCTTTGGGGACTAACAGTTTCTTAAAATGGTTTAATAAATCAGTAGGTAATTGCTGCTGATCTGTATCAGACTAATGCTATATAAATTTACCAACCAAAAACATATGCCATCTGCAACTGTTACAGAGAGGATAATACATTTCTTGAAAGGGTCACCTAATCTTCCACCATTGAATCTAGAAATAGCCACGTTGTGCAGATGTTCATGCTAATTTCCTGGGCTACCATCTTTGTTTTCAAATGATGTTGGTATTAGTGGGATAAATCACAGAGTTTAGTCAATTAGCTGTTGAGTCAGAGTTAATTAAGAAGCCAGCCAGATTTTATCTCTTTAGTTTCTAAACTTTTATCTTAGTAGTCGGAATGATAATGTCACACAGTGGACCCATATCAGCCATGCTGCATTTAATTCTCCCTCTCCTTCAACATTTCTCAAAATTCCAGAGTTAATAAATTTTTAGAAACCATGATAATGTCAGATTTTACAAACATACACAGAACAGCTTGGGCAACATGATGCATTTGATAGGTTATTCAGATCAAATGATCTGCAAAGGATAACACATTTGGAGGTGAAGCTAATTAAGAGAAGACTGGTCCATATTACTACTACTACTACGACTATGACTACTAACAACAACAACAACAACAATAATAATAACAACAACAACAACAACAACAACAACAACAATAATAATAATTCTCCTCCTTCTATCTTCCTCTTCCTCCTCCTCCTCTAATGGATTGTCTCTTTAAATGCCAAAAGATGGGTGGGGAACATGATCTTTTTCCCCTTTTATCTTTCAGGATTAAATTAAATGCTTATTCCACTGATGCAATTATTCACTGATGTAAATTAGACTTGAAAGATACTACAAAATAAATAATACACAAATTGTCCTGACTAATATAAATACCAATTGTTCCAATTAAGCATCTACTCTCACCAAAGTCTGGTTGATTTGAAATATCGTATCCCACTTCATGTCAAATCTCTGCATTTTTAGTTTTTTCCTTCTGGTTTTCCTAGATATCTATTAAATATTTAAATCAAATAGTATTTTACTTTCGCTGGAATTTGCTAACAATAGAAGTCACAATTTTTAAGCACATGTCTGTTTGTATGTATATAGAGATTTTTTTTTTTAAAAAAGATATTTTATCTTTAGTTTTATCTTTAGTATTTAATATAAGCCAAAAAATAAACAGTTTCCATTTTTATATCTAAAAGGTGCAACACTTGTTCTGGAAGAGGCAACAAAACCTGTTCCACCTGCCAAGGGGTGAAAAAGTTGCTACATTTCATCCAGTTGATAATAACTTGGTATGTAATCCTGTTGGTGATGTTATGTTGATGTTAGCATGAAATATCGATTGCTGCCATTGCTAAAGCCTCTTCAAAGAGCCCAACCTATGTGGTGAATGTTCAATTTCACATCCTTTTCTTCTTTTCATTCATTTTTGTCCTTACTACTTTAAATAATCTTTTTCACTGTTCAAGTATACTGGGCATTAGCCCTCTTTCCCAGTGCTCAGCCTGATATTTCATTGGCTGTCCTGTTGATATATTTGGTGCCTCACAAAAAGATGGGATAAGGCAAATATTGATTTTTTTAAAATGAAACTTAGAATATTTTGGTAGCCATAGGACTATTCAGATAGTTGAAGGGAGACTATTCTGAAGTTGGAGGGAGAGATTTATTTGCTTTGAGACTTATTGAGAAATAAACCCTTTATTACTTGATTAAAACACCACAAGACAAATATTTAATTGTAATAAATTACATGATTTCTGACAAGACAATCGTTGCCTTTATTCAAAATGCCATACTTGTTTGTCAGTTCTTTAGCAGGATAATAACCAAGAGGTTTTGTATTTAGAAGCATCTGGGTAGAATCAGTTTGTATTTTTAAAATTAAATTAGAATGTCAGATTATTTGTTTTGAATAATGTTAAGAGCTGTAGTGGCACAGTGGTTAGAATGCAGTATTGTAGGCTACTTCTGCTGACTACTGGCTACCAGCAGTCTGGCACTTTAAGTCTCACCAGCTCAAGGTGAAATGAAGACCCAGATTGTTGGGGTCTTTCTATCTCAGACTCTCCCTTCCTCCTTCACTGGCTCACTCTTTAGATTTTAAGACAATCTCACCTTTCATTTGTAAATTCTGCATACTTTCCAACCATTCCTTCCATCTTATTTCTAATAGGAAAAAAACCCTATTGATCAGAAAACAAAATTACTTACACCAAGGACGTTTACACAAAAAGGACCCTTCTTGTTAATGAAGAACTTGAACGACTCTTTCTTTCACTTTCACTTGCTTATCCTTTTTAGTTCCTCTGAATCTTGTTTTGACTGTGGGCTTTCATTATGAACTAGCTTATCTTAACTGACCTCTCTTTTCACTGTTGTGCTACTCTCCTCTTAACTTGTCTTTCAAAAACTGATTACTTTCCTCCCTGTCCAGTTATCCATTTAACGCACAGCAAACTATTAATACATCCATCTTTTAAAACTGCGGTGTTGTGCCTTATCTCTATGTATGTATGATTTTGCATCAGGGATTCCTAAACTTTTGTCATCACTCTTTCTTTTACTGTCTTCCTAAGGTACACCTCCCCTAAAAACCCAACACAAACACAAATGAACAATGAAAAGAATACAATTAACATTTGGGAAAGGTGGTTCTATTGTGACGATGTAACTGTGAAGTTCTTCATCCTCCCTGGTACACCTTACAGTTTGGGAAACCCCATATTAAATTCCCCCCCTCCTCCTCCTTCCCCTTCTCTAATCCTTTTTTATCTTCCAGGAAAAACAATGTATATGAATTCATTTCTGAACAACAACTAAGCTTTCCAAGAGATCTTCTCAGTAATGCTATGGGGGAAAATGTACTTAAAGATGAAAATACTTTGGTAAGTACAATAATACTTTCTTAAGGCAAAGTTCCTGATGCCTTCAGATCCTTATTGTCTTTCTAATCATCATGATCATCACCACTACCGTCACCACCCTCACTACCAGTAGCAGTAAAAAAAAAGGCAACTAGAAACAACATGATTTAATGTTATAATTCATTTATTACCTCATGTAACTTTATCTAGCATTGATATATTAAACATAATTGGGCGTTCATTGGGATTTCAATTATATTCTTAAATTGGGTTCATATATTAGCTAATTAATTACTAGAATGGTATTTCCAAACCTCTAGTTTCTGAAGCTATAATCCAGTCCAATGGAAAGGGACCACTTCAGAGAAAATGGCCTACTTCAGCTATTTGCTCCTGCTTTTTGTTACAAGGTTCAACCATCTTTATAAGTTTTTGATTAGTATTTAATACATTTGATCTTGGTCTGTAGGTGGTAGTCATGCCACTCTCATAGTTTGGCATCTCATAAACGTTTGCACAATATTTTTTATTTTGTTGAATTGATATGCCTGTTCTATTTGTCAAAAAAGCTAAATCTAAAAAAAAATGTAATGATGACATTATATATTAAGATATAAGCACCAGAAGCATGATGCATGTACAATTTCTACATTGGTGCCTCAAGAGGAACAGATGATGACTCAGAATTTTTCTTATTATGATTAACAGTTCCAGAATTACAAAGTAAATATATCATGTCCTGCAGTTTCATATTTATCATAGGCATATTACATATCTTGAGATAATTCTTATTTTAAGCAATTGGAGTAGGGAGACACACTTAAGCGCTGCAGCTCCTAGTATTCTGCTTCTTATAGCAATAGCACTTGGACTTATATACCACTTCACAGTGCTTTACAGCCCTCTTACAGAGTCAGCATATTGCCCCCAACAATCTGGGTCCTCATTTTACCAACCTTGGAAGGATGGAAGGCTGAGTCAACCTTGAGCTGGTGAGACTCAAACTACTGAACTACTGGCAGCCAACAGTCAGCAGAAGTAGCCTGCAGTACTGAATTCTAACCACTGTGCCACCGCAGCTCATAGCTTTAGGGATTGAGCAATCTTCCTGTTAACAGGGACAGGTGAACTTGTTATGTACAATGCCTGAAGTAATGCCATTACTCATGTTCCTGGTCTGCTAATAAAAACAATGGATGAGTGGACATGGTCAGAAAGGAGAGAAGGGAAACTTAAAAAAACCAGCAGCAACTCAGAGGAATAGAACATATAGTTTTTGAAGTTTTTATTTTTATTTTTCAGGTATATCCTCTTGTTGATTTCCCTAATGCTGAGATCTCACTGGCTTCACAAAGAGCTATTGCAGAACATCATGGCCCACTCACCAGCACATCTCGCATCCTATGGCAGGTATATCAAAGTAGGCCTTTTGAAACTTGAATTCTACCCAAACTTTAACCTTATCACATATGAGAAATTTGAAAATCACAACACTATGTTAGAAATAACAAGCAAGCTGTTTGTGATACCATGTTTCCCTGAAAATAAGACTGTGTCTTATTTATTTTTTTTGCTACCCAAAAAGGCACCAGGTATTATTTTTGGGGGATATATCCACTGACTCACCTCACTTACACGTGTCACCCCAGCCTCCTTTTTGCTGTCAGAGGTCTTCAGGAATTTATTTTTCTGCAGCTGGCAAGGCTTTCCTGAAGCCCTCTGCAGCCGATAACAGAGCTCTGGATCAAGCTGGAGCTCTCTTATCAGCTGCGGAGGCCTTCAGAAAAGCCTTGCCAGCTGCAGAAGAAATGGGCCGGCAAGGCAGGTATGCGAGGCCTGACTGCAACTGTCAAAGGTAAGTAATAGGGCAGCTCCACCCCTCTATCCCCACCCTAACTTAATTTTTACCTGTGCACCTTGGAGTGGGTGGGGTATTAATTAGGGCTTATTTTTTTGGGGGGGGGGTAGGGCTTATGTGAGGCACACATATAAAAATCAAGCTAGGTTTTAAAAATCAGGCTAGGTCGTATTTTCGTGGAAACACAATATTTCAGTTTATCTGCTGTGTGTTTGTAAGGAAGAAATGCACAATTCCTATTGCAGGAGCTGAGGATGAGGCAAATTGGGAGATCTTAATGTTTGTTTGTTTTACTTATAAGTAGCTAATTTAAGAAATGGTGTTGGCAGATGAGGAACATAACCTTTTTTTATCTACATACTTTTCCAAGAGAAATATTTCCCCAGTCTGGTTTCTGTGGAAGATTGTAAATATTTTCCCCCATTTTAAAAATCTGGGTGGTTTATGTGTATCAAAAACATAATAAAAATAATACCAATAAACATTAATCAATTGCAAGAATGGCTCAAATGGAATATAATTTGAAACCATAATTGCAATCATCAAATGCAGTGACAGCTAAAATGAAAGATACTTAAAACCTACTCACTTCATCACACAATGATTGAGGCTGGAAACTTGCTGAATTTTGGCACACACATCTCACTAAAGCAGGTGACTTTAACACTGACTTCCTGAATAAGCCACAGTTGGGTTGTTTATGGGACACATCAAGCCTTTTCCCATGAAAAGGCATCTTCAGACTTTGCAAAAGGTACAGTAAGGCGGCATAGCAGTTTTGAAGGCTAGATATATTCGAAATAAAGATAATGTATTAGAAATTATTAGAAAGGCTAGATATATTATTAGAAATTATTAGAAAGGCTAGATATATTAGAAATAAAGATAATGTTGGAAATTAATCTTCCATAAGTCCTTTGGAAAAGGCCATGTTTTTGTCTTAGATTAGATTAATAAAAAAATCATATGGAGCTGGAAATTTAGCAGGAGAAACCAGATCAAGAGAACTGTACATGTTGCAGTCTACATTTATGCACCAGATGGCAGAGTGGCTACATGATCAGAAAGCTTTTTCTCCCTCCTAAGGGACTCACCCACAATATTGCTCTTAAAACCTTTCTTGCCAAACATTTTAACTGAACACTTGTTTAAAAATATACGCTTTCTGTTTTAAAATGTCTCTCATACACAACTGCATTGAAAGTGGTTTTCATCCATATTATCTTAGTGTATAATCAATTATATCATAGTTGCCAGGAATCTGAACACGAATACTATATCTTCTGCTACATAAAGAGATGACTTATCAGCCTATCAGAAGATTCAGAATTAATATGGAATAAAATCAGAAATGTGGTGAATATATATTAAATTAGATGGAGTTATTTTAGAAATCTTATCAGTTAAAGAATTAGTCACATATTACGGTTCAAAAAATTTAATTCTTTTTGGCACAGAGAGGCTACATAGTTGCATTTTATTTTGTGATAGGATTTGCATATTTTTTTGTAATTATTATGTTACTATTGCTTTTATATCTCTTCCTCTGAGCTTAATGTAGTGTGCACATAGGTCTCTTCATTTTATACCCCCACAACAGAGGCAGTTGGACTGATAGAGTGTGATTGGTACTGTGTCCCCTTGTGAGCTCTGCATTATCCTAATTACCCTACCTGCTGTTTTTAATTTCTCTATTGTATTATTTCTTTTTAAAATATATTTTATTAAAAGTTTGTTTTCTTAATGTAAAATAGAAATAAAAACAATGGAAAGAGGATAGCGGAGATAAAGTGAAGAGAAACAGAATTGGTTACAGTGTTTTCAGGTCATATGATTGTCTTTTGCTACCTTCTGACAAGCAAAGTCAATGGGGAAGCCAGATTTACTTAACAATCATGTTACTAACTTAATTACTGTACTTAACAGTGAAGGCAAGATTGGGTGTAAAATGGGGCAAAACTCACTTGACAACAGTCTTGCTTAGCAGTGGAAATTTGGGGATTGATTATAATTGTAAGTTGAGGATTACCTGTAACCCAAAACTATTTACATTCTTGTCCCTAATTAATGCGGGCAGCTTTGCCATCTCTGCCAGTTCCATCATCTTTTCAATCCATTCCTCCATTATGGGATTTAACACTTCTTTTCATGTCTTCATATAGAATTCTTATAGCTGTCGACATCAAATCAAATCAAACATTTATTGTCAATGCACAACATATGTACAATGAAATTGAAAGGAGCCTCCCTTGGTGCAGCCTCCCCTTCCCCCTAAAAACACAAAATACATCTCAATAACTCAATAAATTAAAGAAATAGAATCCCTAAACCATATAAGTAATAACTAACACACATTCTCATATACCTATATGTATGTAACATTATTATTATATTACACTGGTATGAACATGTTGCATGTTGCGCTGGCCCTGCAAGTCTATCATATTAAACCTAATTGTGGTGTTATGTTGCATTCAGAAGCCTGACGGCCCAGGGATAAAAGCTACTTTTCAGCCTATTTGTTCGGCTGGCTATGCTTTTATATCTCCTGCCTTATGGTAGGAGAGTAAAAAAGTGCTGACCAGGGTGTGAATCATCCCTGAGAATTTTCCTCACTCTGCTGAGGCAGCGGGTCCTGGGGATTTCGTCGAGCTGTATCAGGGGACAGCCCATAATTTTTTGTGCTGTGATCATCATCCTCTGTAATGTGATCATCATCACATTATCCTCATCCTCTGTGATCATCATCCTCTGTGCTGTGATCATCATCCTCTGCCTTTTTGTCCATGGCTGTCAAGCCAGCATACCATACAATATACATTGACATGTATATCAATGACGTTCCATTGTTTTTTCTCCCATTTTTTTTATCCAATAGTCCTAGAAGAAAACTTTCTGGTTTCCATTGTTAGTCCATTTTTAAATCTTCTGATTTAAACCATGAATCTATGCAAAATATTTCTTTACCTTATCCCATGCCCACCACGAGTGATTAAAAAATACCCTCCTTATGCTTGCATTGCAACAAACATTCAAAACACCTTTATATATCTTTGATAATTTATATAGGGTAAATACCAGTGGTATATCATTTTATAGAAATTCACCTTAAGCTTATAATTCAACATGAATTTCTGTCCTTTAGTCCACATATTTTCCCATTGCTCTAACATTATATTAAAATCAATTTTCCTATAATTTCTTCATTATATTCTCAAGTCTCAGCAGATGATGACACTTGGTTGATCTTATTCTGACTCAGTAGCTAAGCAGGTTTAAATCCTAGAAGAGAAAACTGGGAGGTTGAAAAATATACATTATATATGTATGACCAATGAAAATATAAGAGAGTGACTGCTAGAAAAGACCGATGTTCAGGTGTTTGGCCATAGAGAGAAAATGAATGAAGATCAAATTGCAAAACAAATATATGAAGGAAGAGTGAGTAGTAAGAGGAAATGGGAGACTGGAGCAGTCATAGTTGAGCAGAGATCCTAAAATATGATCCTATAAAAAGGGAACAGCATATGGACATGGTGGAAGCAAGGATGGGTTGCAAGGATAGAAAGTTATTGAAAAATATAATTAATGGATTTATTTTCTTAATGCCATGCCTTTCAATTAGTAATAGCGTAGTGCTTTATAGTGCTCTCTGGGCAGTTTACAATGTAAGCATTATTTGCCTATTGACCCCAAAAATCTAGGTCCTCATTTTATAGACCTCAGAAGGATGAAAGGCTGAGTCAACCTCGAATCGAATCAGGAGTGAATTCCTGCTGTGGGCAGTTTGCCTGCAATATGCAGTTTAACCACTACACAACCAGGGCCAATTTCTCTGACTTACCTTTTGCCTTTTTTTTCTGTGCTGACCATTTGCTTAGTATGTATTATAGAGGCAAACAACTTTTGAGCAATTTCAAAAAAAAATGCATGGATGTGTCAATAACAGTACCAGAAATAAATCTGGAGCTAAAGAAGATTTTATTTTTATTTGTGCTGTAGCAGTTTAGATTTGAAAAGAAGATCCTTTCATATAACACAAATAGAAGTTATTTACTAGTTCAAACAAGGCTGGTATATTTACACATTGCTTCTGTGATCCCTAGCCACAATTTATGCACTTCCATCTTTCTTGATTCTGTCTTTCACACAGGCCAGTCTTCATACTTACTCAGGAGGAGACATGAGTGAGTAGCAAGATATTAGCTGCAATAATCAATTATTGTTAAACCAGTGATGGGATTCAATATTTTTTTACTACCGGTTCTGTGGACGTGGCTTGGTGGGTGTGGCAGGGGAAGGATACTGTAAAATCTCCAGTCAGAGGTGGTATTTGCCGGTTCTCCGAACTACTCAAAATTTCTGCTACAGGTTCTCTAGAACTGGTCAGAACCTGCTGAATACCATCTCTGTGTTAAACGTTTAGAAACCTACCAAAGCCTCCGTGTGAATATAATAGTTAAAGGGTGTGATAAGTAGGGACCCTTTTGTATTTATTGTCCCTTTTTCAAGAGGAGGATTGATGGAAGGTACTAAAGATTAGAGAAGCTTT